TAAGTAGTTCCATGATTAACCCAATGGAGTGATTTGGGGCCTGAGAGCCTACCCAAGTATCACCCTAGATCCGTAAGGATTTACCAGCTTGATCAGAGTTGTACCTCTATACTCGAGTCTACCCAGATAATATCCCAATAAAACAGTTCAAAGTAATACCAGTGAAAACAAGAAATCATACTTCATAAACCAGTACATTCCATTATTCCATAATTCAGGAATAATTCATATTTTTCAGTGAAAGCCAAAATCGGAGAACACATACAATGTTGTCATGGTTCATAAACCAGTAAATCAATAATTTTGTTAAAACTCATTTCAAAATATATAAAACCATCATGTAATACATGTGGAACACACTAGAGGATCCAAGTATTTTTTCAGAAGAACTTGGTAGTTTATCAGCAATGGAAAACATGAAACTGATGTAATTTGATCGGATTACAGGAACAAGGTCCTATTGAAAGTGATCGATTACTAATGGATGTAATCAGACATTTAGAGTTGATATTTTAGAATCCCGCTATGATTCAGGTGCATCAAGAAGGTGTTCATGAACCTTTATACTGAATAAATTCTAGATTCATATTTACGGAGAGTGATTCCATTACTCAAACAATCTGGAGTATTCATGATTTTATATTGAATTATCAGGATTTTAAGTCCAATGAACCAAATGGGGTATTCAGTTTCCTTGCATCTGAGTTACTTGTGTTTTCAGATATGACCGGAGTGATTTGAGCTGATAAGGGAAAAACGAAGATTCAAAACATTTACAATCTGTGTTGATCTATCGGATTATCAAAATAACTCAAGCCGGACAACTCCCAGAACTAATGCATGTCAATCGATCAATTCGTTACCCTTCCAGAGTATTCACTCTTTTATACCAACAATTCTTGTTCATAGGTCACCTTCAGAATCATTGTTGAATATATCTTAAGGAGACAAATAGATATTCCAATGGTCTTTAATTCATTCCCACATTGCAACACTATCAGGAAAATATCATCATACTTGATTCGTGGTTCATAACACATGAAAACAGTATATCATGTAAGTTCATTAGTATTCTATACTTATCCAAGTCACTCACTTAGTCCTAAGTCATTGAGGTTACATAGGTCAATTAGTATTGAGATTGATTTATTCTATTCAGAGCTGAAAGTATTATTTATTATAGGGCTTAGACGCTCCTTGAGTCATTTTACATTTCAGAGACATTCCAATAGATCCAAAATTTATTTCGATAATTCTGAAGTTCAAGTGAATCAAGATATGCATTCTTAGGTTGTATCCATTATTATAGCCATCCATTATGCTTAACACTTAAGCGTATCATTCTCATTTCATTCAAATTTGTCAGTGGCATACTTTCCGGTAAATTAAGCTTGAATGCATTATAGTTCATTTAGTGTTCAGGGTATTTTGCTCCTTTGATCAATATAGGTTATTATAGTTATTACGAAGCTCGAAGACATTTCAGTAATTACTTTCAATTCGATCATATGCAATTTTTATGACAAGTAGTCAAGTTTATCCTTTCAGAGTTATTCTTCGCCATCCAAAGAAATATTGTTCTTTTTCCATTACAACTCGTTTTGCTCTTTTCGGTAACTTCATATACAGTTAATCCCAATATTTAATCTTTTAAGAGAATTTATCAAACTTCATGGATCTTGAAACCGATTCGTTTGAGTCTTATACGGTTTTATATCCTTATTCCAATTTTACATCCGAGTTCACTGATAATTAAATACATCTAATATATCAATCAGTTCCATTCATACAATTATCATCCATTAATGAGTCCGAGAAGCATACAAAAGGTAGTAGAGTATTACCTCGGTTTCTGTGCCATACCGATCAACCATTTAAAATCCATTAGATTGCCCTCGAACTTGAATTCAACATCCTTTAATTCCTCTGATACAAAGAAACCGAATTTATGTCAGAAACTGAACTCAATTTACCATGTGCGAATTTGGAAAAACGAACTTCGGATTCGGACTCAGGATGTCGAAAAATATAAAATAGGATCTTTTCGAAAAAAAATTGACTTTTGGTCAAAGTCAATGGTCAAATTCAACGGGTTAACTCGGACGAGTAGACTCAGACCGAGTTGACTCGGTGACTTAGCAAACCAAGCGGGTCGGGTTGGGCAGGCAGGTCGGGTCAAATAGACCTGGTTCGAACCACTCCAGGCCATTCTAGAAGGCTCCCAAGCGTGTGGAACAACCCCACGCACACACGACGGTGCGTAGCGGCGCGTGGCGACGACGATGGCTTCAGGGTGGTCGACTGATTCCTCCTGGAGCAGCTAAACACCAAAATAAACCAACATTCAATCCAAAACATCAACTAAAACCGAAAGAAATTTATCCAAACTATAAACCCGAAACTTACCCACGGTCGCTGGTGAGAACCATGACGGTGCGGTGACCCACAGGTCGGTTTTACACAGAAAAGAATGGTGAACCCGTTGGAGACAACGGTAAGGCTCGACGCTCGTCGGTTCGACCGAAATCGAAGAAAACACGTGCGACGGTGGTGGGGTTTCGATGAATCTTCCTGACGATATCTACGGCGAACGACACCAATTCAGGATGGGCTAAGGGTCAAGTTTTGTTCACCAGTCGATGATGAATCTATAGGTGACGTCGGTGCGGCGAACAGTGTTCGGACAGCGGCGGATTGAGGCTATGAAAGGGGTCGATGGGGAAATTAATTTAGGGTTTGGGGATAAAATTAGGGTTAAATCGATCAGGGGTTTATTTTTGTTGCGTAATAAAAATTAGTAAAATTTGGGGTTTAGTCCCTAAATTTTTTTCAAGTTGCACCATAGCCCTTCATTTTTCAAATCTTATAATTTAACTCCTAAATTGGGGTGTTATAAGTAGTGTGGTTCTATATAGGGGTGCATATTGAGCGAGTAGACTGTGAGTTAGGTAATGCTCAACTCATGCTCGTTAAAAAATTTTGTTGCTCTACTCATTGCTGGTTAAGCTCATTAAATTTTTGCTCGACTCGTGCTCATAGAAAACTCCTTGCTCGACTCCTTGCTCGTTATGCTCGTTACTCGTTAATCTCGATGCTCATTGCTCGCCTCGTTATTTGTTAAGCTCGTCGAAATTTTACCTTATTTTCTTAACTATAGGTAAAATCTACTAATATTATATAAAACTTAATATAAACATAAATCAATAAATTTAACAAAAATTTATCAAAGTAATTTTAAAGTCTAAACTCCAAAGTAACCATCCACAAATACACTAAAAATAATAAATAAGATTTGGTTTTAGAGTGTATGAAATAATTTTTTAAGATAACTACTAAAAAGATATATAAAAAAAATTAATGAGCTACTCGCGAACTTATCGAGTCGAGTTGGACTTTGCTAGACTCAACTCGTTAAGGTCTCGAGTCGAGTCAACTCGAATCGAGTTTTTATCGAATTTTGACCGAACCGTGTTCGAGCTACTCAACTCATTAATCACCCCTAGTTCTATACTTCTATTTATGTGTTCGGTTTCACATTGACTGTGAGCTAATGCTATTTTCACATTCGTATAGTCGTTGGGTCGAGTCTTCACAGGGCCCATGTTATCATATTCAGTGGTCCTATTAAGGTGATTTTCACAAGTAGGGTGCTTCTTTACATTTTTTGTGTCTAAATTATATCTCAAAATACGATTTGTTGTTTAAATAATTTTTTTGCTAATAATAGATATCTAACATTTTTTTCGTTACACGTTACACTTTTAGGTGTTCACAGTTTTCTCTGTTATACTTTTAGATGTCTACCATTATATTTTTAATTTTTTAATAATAAAAAATTTATTTTTTAAAAAAAAAAAATAAAACCCCTCATGTCGTCCCTCTCCCTCCCATCCTCACTGCTGACGGTGAAGGATCACCACCGATCGGATTTTGTTCGAAGCAGATGTAACGTACAGACGAATGTAGTCGTCAAAATCGTCAAAAACAACAACGAAAAACTTAAAATTCCGGCAACCGTTTTTCATGATGATCGATACAGTTTCACAATGGATGGGGAATGAGTTTTGGTTGCAGCGGCAAGACGGTTCTAATGGTGTCAATGGTGATGATCACGGAACAACGGTGACCTATCGACGGTAGAAGACGTAAAATTTGAGATATTTTTATTTTTTAAAATTATAATATTAAATTTTATTAAATTAATTAATTTTTAAAATTTTATATGTGTGACACATGTCAGATAATGGTTAGATTTAACGGCCGTTACGGTCCAGACACCTAAAAATATAATGTTGGAAACATTACACACTTATTATTAACAAAATATTCTTTAAATACCAAATCATATTTTTTAGGTACAGCTTACACTCTAAAAATTGTATTAAGCCTTAAAATACTGATCAAAGTAAAAAAAAAAAAAAAAAAGTTTGACAAATTTACCTAATTGAAGATTCCTTTTAAAAAAAGAAACACGTGACATAAACAACCCCCCATGAAATAAAAAACTTATAATAAACTGCTAATGGATCTTTTATAATCTATAAAATATTCAAGCATAAATTTTAAAAAAATGAATTAAAAAATATCATTCATTATTAAATTATTATACTTAACTGCTGGTTATTTTTTTAAAAAATGGATTGAGTAATTATTTCGTTCAAATTTTAATTACGATTAGAAGTTTTATATTGCTGTACATTTTATTGTCAAAATAGTTGGCACATTTTAATTATACTTAACAATATAAATATGTTATGAGTGTGATATTAAGAATTAATTTAATGGAATATCATTAAATTATAGTTTCTCAACTTGCCGTATTAGTCTAATTAAAAAAACACAAAATCTTGTTTAAAGTAAATATCAAATAGTACATAGATTATTTAGCTACTAACAATTAACAAACATGAGTTTCCTTCTCAAACAACGGATGGCATCACTACCAGCAATGAAAATAAAGCCTGCATTTGCAGATTGTATACACAAATATATAGGTTTCTTTTCTTCTTGAACGCAGGGAGCCATGTAAGAGACTTAGACCCTTCCATACCCTCAAACTCTGCAAATGGAGAAGCAAACAACTCAAACCTTCTACGGGAGGAATCAATTAATGAGTAAGATGAAGAGAGATTACAGTTGGAATTCTATGTTGACGGAGTCAATAGCTATGTTGGTAATCCCACCAAAAGCTGTCTCGGACAGGACAATGGTGGCGGATGGAGTTGAAGGCCGAGACTGTGCAGTAGGAGCGTGATATACAATCTTGACCTGGATCGTCTGGTCGGGGGTACAACTCCCGGGCTGTGACGTACTGATGCATCGTACCAGGTATTGTCTCCCGCACGATGCTCCATTGTCCCATATCCCATCTCCTGCTGCTGCGAACAAATTGCTCGATGGAAACTGAGTTTGATCATCACCATAGCACGCCGTCGCTGCACATATATGACATAATATGAGCTTAGATAATTGATACTCACGTAGATATGGTGGGGTTTATTGGGCTGCAGTGCCAACATCGGCATGGGAGAAACGGAAGAGCTGAGAAAGAATAAGCAGGCATGATACAAGTTGGGTCTGCATCCTTGGTTCGTATTTTGTATATTATATTACTTTTCCGCCTTATAACCAAAACAAAACAAGAATCCTCCTTTTAAAGTCAACGGAGATGTCGAATTAATCATGGAATACTCCTCACGCGGAATGAGCTTTGAGACAATGCCCTTGCACGAAAGTAAAGTTGATTTATACCTGAAACGACTCAATTAATCATCGAATAGACATTAAAAAACTTTTGGATAACCAGCATGTGCACGATGACGTGGTGACTGACAAAGAAAGATAACCGGCAACCACTGCTTTAAATATTACTCCATCTAATCTAATACTAAAAGTTCCGATTTTTTACTTTTATACATTTAGTCTTGCTGTTACTTTTCATAGCAATAACTCCGGTTGCCTTGAGAATTTAACAAAGTTGGTGGTGGGTTTAGACCATTGACCCAGTCATTGTTACCTGCTTGTAAAGTAATATAAACTGTTCTATGATTGCAACAATAGCAAGAAGCAATATCAGTTAAAAGTTGAAACAACCACTACTCACCGGATCCTGCAGTTTAATATCAAGATTGCTAATTTAAATCTGCCACTTCATGCATTATGGAACCTGGAAATATTATTCCTAAATTTTAAGTCCTCTATTTGAAGCAAATTTGATACACGGCCAAGTCTAGAAAAGCAGATGTGTGTAGCCAGCAAAATGCCTATTGTGCTAATATCCTATACGGCGAAAGCACGATAAATATAACATAATCACTTCCATAGCTTCCGCAAGGACATGTTTTTCTCACTCTCCTTCTTCATCACCTTTGCCACTGCCATCTCGAAATCTTCTTTTGTTACATGGACTCTCCTTTCCCTCAAAGCAAACATCCCTGATTCTGTACATACCGCCTGCAAGATACAAAGAGAGTTCTGTCAAACTAGCACAAACAGAGACAGATAGTTCTTGCTATGTTGTGTTCTCTATAATCAGAAGCCTACGATCTTGCTAAAGTAGCAATTTTGATTATCCAACTTATGTACTAATGCACTGAAAATATTTTCAAAAAACTTGTAAGTTGCAACAGTCGGAATAAACCTCATAGCATACATAAACAAGATATCAAAGACTGGGATGAAGGTTCTTGCTTATAGCATAAATTACTAATGGGGGAGGGACTATATTTCCTAGAATGCAGAAAGCAGGAAACATTTCAAATAAATTGTCTCTACCTCCGCTGCTTATGAGGTTGGAGAGAGACGAAGAAGAGAAGAATAGATCCTGAACATCATATGAACTTCCTTGAGCTCGTTGGTGGTGAGAGATTGGAGCTTTGGTCTATTTAATGTGAATTCAACCATCCTTTATTATTATTCATTCACACTATGCACAATCATATTCTCCCCCAAACCATAAGCTAGACAAAGTGATCTAGCAACCCTTGTAGCCATTTTTTTAGAGGCAGAGTCACCATAGGTAAGCCAGCCCATAACACATCTGTGTCGGTTGTATGTGCATTGTATAAAGGTGTGTCAAGACAGATCAGCTAAAGCACTGTGCCTGATATGTTCTTATTTCATAGTCACATCAGTGAAAATAATTTGGTCTGGTTGTACTCCTTGGGTAGCAACATACTCTCGCAGTCTCATTTCTCCAGCAGCTAGAAATCTAAGGAGTCAAAGTGAACTATTTGCTACGCACTTGAGAATATTACACCAAGTGTTAAATATTTCAGGATCCATTTGATACAATTGGTTGAAACATGCAAAAATAAATTTATCTTCAAGAATATCATAATTAGATCGATTGTACTGGCAAGTTGGGTCCAACACATCACAATTTTCCTGCTTATAATCATTCACAAAATAACAATGAGGGAGATGGACAAGCTTCTCAAAATAAATGTGTGCATAGCTGTTGAGTTAATCGATTGATGGAATCAGCCAAGAGGGGGGTGAATTGGCAATTAAAATTTTGGTGGAAGCTTTTGCAGAAAATTGAAAGTAATTGCACAGCGATTTAGAGTGGTTCGACTTTCTCAACCAAAGTCTACGTCTACTACCTTAGCTATACACACTAAGGATTTTCCAACAAATTCACTAATTTGTTCTTTATTTTAAGGCCAAAGAGATAACCTTACAACTCCCTCAAGAATATACCCCAATTCTTGAGAACACTCTTTCTCAAAGAGAAGATTACAAATTTGCAAACTTACAAGGAAATCCTCATAAGGTAGATTGTTTACACAATTCTAGAACAAAGAAAATAACACTAAAAAATGAATACAATTGAGTACAAGTAGTGTTCTTGAAATCAAAATGAATATTGAATGAAGAATAGGCTTGAAATGCTCAAACTTGAGGTTGGATGCTTTCTATTTGATTCTCTCTTAATTCTTGATTCTTGTTGTTTCTTGTTGTTGATCAATGGCTTCTAGGCTTGTTTAAATACTCGTTCAATTGATTCTGAACGTTGAGGATGATTAGTGGAGTCAATATAGTCGTTTAAGTGTGAAAACAATTAATAAAATCAGTTGGGAGCGTCAGTGCAACGATGCATACACAAGGTGCATCGGTGTATCAAGTGTAAAATTCAAATATTTTGACCGTTGGACTCTTAGTGCATCGGTGCACTAAGAGTGCTTTGATGCATGAAGTGCATTCGATGTTTCAAAATAGCCTGAGTGCATCGATGCATGTCTTGTGCATCAATGCATCAAATGCATTCGATGTTTTCATAGAAACCTGAGTGCATCGATGCATGGTATGTGCATCGATGCATACAATGCATTCGATGTTCAATTTATTCATTGGTGCATTGATGCATGGATTGGTGCATCGTTGCATTCCTTTGAAAATTTGATTTTAGGCTTGATTTTGGTTCAAAATACTTTGTGAAAATTGTTTCAAAAATATATTAAGTATAAAACACAATTTTACACATATAGTAAGGTTTGAAATTGATCTTGAAAGACTTGGAGTAATAATTTGATATTCGAGTAATTAAATAGAATAAACTTAGAAAATCATTTGTAAAAATCTTAAAATTCATTTATACTTAATTTGTTATATCAAAACATCAAAATATTTTCAACAATCTCCCCCTTTTTGATATAACAAAACATTTAAGTAATTTTAAGATTTGAAAATTATTTTTGAAATCAATTTTAAAAAAATTACTCCCTCTTACTATGACACGTCTTCTCCCCCTTTTTGTTAAATAAAAAAAGACGCAAAAATGACTTTTATTAAGAATTTGAAAAACTTAGCCAATTGATTCATTAATTTTAAAGTTTAAGCTGCTAAGATCACAATCAGAAGAGAGATTAGCCATTAGTTTTCATAATCAATATTCATAAACATGTAATGGATAATTGGTCATATATGTCGAATGATGCAAAATTAAGTATAAATATCAAAAAGAAAATTCAAACCAAACATATATATATTAAGATTTAACATCCAAAGTAACCAAAATATAAATCCAAAACATTTAATCATCCAACAATCAAAGGAAAATAATCCCAAAAGCATATAAAATGTTTTAACAAGAAAAGTTCTAAGTTGATCCAAAAACAAAAGCAAAGCAATGTCTACTCGTCCATAGATGGATCGGGAGGATGAGGAAATTGTGCTTGCATCTCAAGAAAGAGCATCCATACGTGCAAGCATCTGCCATTGAAACTCTATTTATTGAGCTTCCAAAGTGTCTAAGCGATGATTCACCGCTTCGTTGTTAGCAGTCAAATGGGATTCGATGGAAGCAAACCATAAATCAAATGTCTCCAAAAACGAACGAAAATATAGAGGCACTTGATCCTCTTGTGGTGCCGGCGCATTGTCGGGATCGTCAATGTCTTGAAATAATCCTTGAAGCTCGGGATCATCATCTGTAGCCGGTGCCGGAGGAGGAGCACGAGAAGTGCTAGGAGCAGCTCGTGAAGAACTAGCTCCCGGAGTTTACTTATTGGGTCGAAAGACCCATAGACCAGTTTCCTCGTCCTGTTTCTAATCAGCTTTCTTCAACGAGGTGAGATTGATTTGGTTTTGGAGAGGAATGGGATTGTCAAGAGAGATGTTAAGACCGAGTTTGATAAAAAAGTTACTAAGTAGACATCCATAAACTAATGTTTCGACATATTTTGAAGGAATAATGTTTATGGTATCCACTAGCTCACTAAATATAATGTGTGGCAAATTTATTTTGTTCTTATTCTTGATACAGTACATCCACCATAAATCCCTAATACAAAGAGTGGAGTACCTAACTCTGGATGGTCTAAACCACCAAGAGATCTTCAAATGAAGAAAACGATCGTGATGAGATCGTAGAGTACTAACACTAGCATTTGGAACATAGGGATATTCCACAGTTTCTTTCTTATTATATAACCCATTATCATCTAGCCCAAATTGCCTAGCAATAGACTCGGAGTCAATATGAATATATTGTCCTAAAAGATAGGATCTAATTCCTATAGTCCTACATTGAGTCTCGTTTTGAATACATACTGCATTAGAGTAGAAAATGCGGACTAACTGATGATAGACGATGGGTTTTAGGTGAAACAGTTTATCAAACTTCCATGTTTTGAGAATCAGAAGGTATTCGAAGTCAATATCAATCATGGGTTGAACAGAAGGAATACGCTCTTCTCGGATTCTATAAGATTGGAAGGAGTTCATATACCTATGGTAGAGTTCATCCCTACGATGCTCAGGCATATTAAAACAGGAACTTATAATATTTTGGTCATTTGGGTTTGGATTTTGAGGTTGAGGAGGAATGGGAGGTCGGTTTGAACGACTCAATGAAAACCTAGGGCGTTTTGGGTTTGACATGATTTAGGAAACGAAATTAGAAATGTAACCTGCAATTTTGAAACACATGTATGCAAAATAATCAATCCCAAAACTCAATTGAGTCTGCAATAATTCAAGATTCTCTAAACTAAATCCTAATGGGCAAGGTTTCAAAAAATTTTTTGAAAATAATTTTTGAAAAATCATAATATGTATAGTTTTCATGAAAAAC